AAACTTATCTGCATTCGATATTTAAAATTATACCGTCCAAATAAAAGGACCAAAAAAGAAAACAAAAGTAGTGGGAAAAAGGGGCAAAATAACTCGATTAAAATAGTGGGAATATGTCGAAAAATTGCAATTATTAATTGGTCCAAATTTCACACTTTTATGTTTTTATTTTCTTTGTCTAATTATTATACTTTCACATTATCTACGTGGATATTCTTTAAGCCACTATATTAACTTTTAAGTTTTTCACGTTTGAAAAGCTTTTAAAGAACCTTTTCTTTTTTTTCTTTTTGGGCAATTTAAGGAAAAAAATAATTAACAAACAATATTTTGTAATTATCATCGTTTTCTTATCAGTTACTTTATTTACACAACCTTGCCCGACCCTCCCAGCTCCCTTTATTCAATGCTTGACAGCTTTCTTCATGTGGCGTGACACAATCAGCTAAAAGACGATGGTTGTGAAGTAAGAGGTGATTGGTAGTGCTTGACATGGGAAGAAAGCTCTCACCTTGATGGAAGATTTGTCATTTTCCTTTTTTCATACCTACTGATATATAACTTTCGAGCCAATGATCCTTCAAAAATAGTCTCTCTACCTCTACATGGAAATTAAGATAAGGTGATTTGAGTACACTCCATTTTGCAACTTTTGTGGACCTCATTATAAAATTTCACTAAATACATTACTCCATCCGTTTAAAAAAGAATGACCTAATTTCCTTTTTAGTTTGTTTTAAAAAAATGACCTCTTTCCTTTTTTGGTAATATTTTACTTTCAGCTTTCCACTTGGCATATTTAAGACCACAAGATTAAAGGACAATTTTGTACATTTGACATAACTTTAATTAGGACCACAAGATTAAAATATCTTCTTTATTTTCTTAAATTCCATGCCAAATCAAACTAGGTCACTCTTTTTGAAACGGAGGGAGTATAATATAAAAAGTTAAGAATATTTTAAAAATTCGTAAACTTCAAACTCTAGATCTGCTTCGAGATAAAAACACAGTGTGAAACTATTTTTAAAAGTCCTGCAAATTAGGACTAAAAAACATTCTACACCTATCGACCACAAAAAAGAAGTAAAAATCCAATTTGTTTAAGTCATTAGTTGTTACACCTCATCGATAACATCACATATTTTTCACTCAAAATCCTATAAATATGGATCATAACATAATCAATTTTGTATCATCCATATTTTTCTACATTCTTCTCTATTATAATACTTTATACTATATATACACTACAAAAATATTTTTATTTTCAAACGAAAAAAATGGCAAAATCATATGAAAATGAACATCCAATTAAGGCATTTGGATGGGCAACTAGAGACACTTCTGGAGTTCTTTCTCCTTTCAATTTTTCAAGAAGGTACAAATTATTATTTTTAATTAATTTTGATGACGTGTTTTTTATTTCTATCGGAAACAACCTCTCTATAAGGTAAGGTAGGGTAACATCTGCGTACATATGCTATAATAAAAATGAGGTTTACTGGCAATAATAAATATGTACATTAACAAAAAGTGTTGAAATCTTTACCAGTATTAATTATTTGTTATTGGATTCAATGTCGTTTTAGGCTCTGACGACATTTACAAAGAGTCTCAAAATGTAATTGTCACTAGCAGAGGCGGATCTAGGATTTGGAGGTCCTGGGTGCCACATCGTTCAAGTTAGATAAACATGTCAATTGTTTTAATTTTGGGTTACAATTCGGTTATTATCCTTTTTGATTTTTATAAACAAATCGATCAATCATGCATGTTAGTAATATTTTCTTTTAGATATTTTGTGATTAGAGATAGCTAAACAATTCAATTTTTTTTTAGGAATTAAAGGCCTTATTCACTTAAACTTTGAGGAAAAAAGAATTTTTTTCACATTAAAATTTGAGCTTGTATAAACCATCTTATAGTGTTAACTGAATATATTCATATTCCATTGACTTTATGTGTTATTCCTTATATATATAGTAGAGAGAATAAAATTGTAGTTTCAACCTAGTCATCTTACTTAGCAAGAATGTCGGTGAAGATCGAAAGAACCTTTTAATTGAAAGAACTCTAGTAATAATATTCATCATTTTTAAAACTTATATTTTTTAAACACTACTATTTAAATATAGTCTTAATAATATTTATCAATAATTAGTGAAGGTTAAAAAAATTAAGAATTAACTACGGTGAAAAGGAGTCAATTTGAATTAATAAAGTACAGTAAATAAATAAGAATGAATAGAAGAAACAAAAAACTGAAGCCCTTCACACATTAATAAAAAAAAAAGACAAAAAAGAAAAGAAAAAAAAAGCTTCACTGCGCGCATTGCTAGCAGCGAGATTCGAACTCGCATTGCACGTATGGCATATCATGCCCTTTGCCACTCGAACCATTCATCAATTTGTTCAATGGGAGGCAAAGTTAATATATATTAATTTATGATATATATATACATATACATACAAAGATTTTTTCCCCAAATTACTGGGTGCCGTGGCACCACCACCTGTACCCTTAGATCCGCCCCTGGTCACTAGCAACTGCCTCTACAAAAATCAATTTTTGCTAGTGACACTCAGTTTCTCGGACCCCACATGTATGCTTATACTGAATTTGTTGTTGTTGTTTTATTGTAAATTGATGATGATCATTTTGTGTTAATGGTTACAGGGTGACAAGTGAAAAAGATGTGCAATTTAAAGTTATGTATTGTGGAATTTGTCATTCTGATCTTCATCAACTCAAGAATGAATGGGGAAATAGCAAGTACCCCATGGTGCCTGGGTAAATTAATTTGTTCTTGTCTATTTTCTTTTATTGTTAGATCTAGAATTATTAACCATAATTTTCACTAACGAGATTCAAAAATATTAAGGCACAAAGAAGCTAACAGGATTCAATATGCACTATATATATACACTGATAAGTAATTTTTCGGCGAAGAATATTTACTAGCTAGTTTTCCTTTTCTCTATATCTTTTCAATTTTTCACATTATATTTTGGATTTGAAAGCAATCCTGATTTGGTTCTTAGTCTATAATTGGCCATTTTGAGCTCTTGATACCTCAGTTAGTTTGACTCGACACGGAGTTTAAGAAAGAAAGGAAGACTTTTAAAACTTGAAGTCTCAAATAAATGATAGAAATTACTGTGACTATAAATCATTTCATTAAGGATAAAATAGACATTTTAAAGTTAAATGTGTCATTCTATTTGGAACGGCCTAAAAAGGAAAGTAAGTCATATAAACTGGGAAAGAGGGAGTAAAAATTAGCGGAATTTGTGTCGATTCGATCTACTCGTGAGTGTAACTGATTGTAAATATAATTGCAGGCATGAGGTTGTTGGTGTTGAAACTGAGGTGGGAAGCAAGGTGGAGAAATTTAAGGTTGGAGACAAAGTAGGTGTTGGATGTATGGTAGGATCATGTCAAAAATGTGAGAATTGTAGCGTTGATCTCAAGAATTACTGCCCCTCGTCAGATTCCTACATACAACGGCTATAGCTTAGATGGAACCCTCACGTTTGGAGGTTACTCCGACATGATGGTATCCGATGAGCATTTTGTAGTACGTTGGCCTGAAAACTTGTCGATGGACGCTGCTCCCCTGTTATGTGCTGGAATTACTACTTATAGTCCTTTGAAATATTTTGGACTCGATAAGCCTGGAATGCACATTGGTGTTGTTGGTCTTGGAGGGCTCGGACATATGGCTGTTAAGTTTGCTAAGGCATTCGGAACCAAAGTGACTGTCATTAGTACATCTGCTAATAAGAAGCAAGAAGCAATTGAGCGTTTGGGCGCAGACTCTTTCTTGATCAGTCGCGATCCTGAGCAGATGAAGGTGATTATAATAACTCGTTATCATTGAACTCTGTGATCATCTTATCTGAATGTTTAATCTGTTTGAGAGAGCACTTTTATTTAGTTAATAGTGTCTTCAACACACCCTTGCCTGATTCTTTTTTCATGAGTCAAGCATGTTAAATTCTATTTTTGATAATGGTGGTATTGAGATTTTTGAACTCATGATCTCCGCCTGCTCTGGTTCTGTGTTGAAGTGTGTGATAATCTTATCTGAAAGCTTAAGTTGGTATGCCAGTTTAACAATTTAAACTCGAGAATGGGGGCTAACCTTTTGTTTATTTGTATTATTAATATACGAACAGGCTGCAATGAACACATTGGATGGGATTATCGACACTGTTTCTGCAGTGCACCCTATTCTTCCATTGCTTATGTTGATGAAATCTCATGGTAAGCTTGTTATGGTTGGTGCACCAGAAAAATCGGTGGAGTTGCCCGTGTTTCCTCTACTTATGGGTAAGCAAATGCAAGATTTCAAATAATAAAGTTCAGACTAAAGTATATATAATGTGGCCCTTCCCGCACATAGTGAAAGCTTAGTGCATCAGACAGTCTTTACTAAAGTTTGTATATATAATGTGGAAAACAGGAAGGAAGCTAGTGGCTGGAAGTTGCATAGGAGGGATGAAAGAGACTCAAGAAATGTTGGACTTCGCAGCAAAGCATAACATAACACCAGATATTGAAGTTGTGCCAATGGACTATGTGAACACAGCGTTGGAACGTCTTCTGAAATCGGACGTGAAGTATCGTTTCGTGCTCGACATTGGAAATACATTAAACAAGAACTGAGAATATTAATAAGGGATTTACGTCCAATGGTCTAGCATTAATTTCAGAGGTGATTAATCAATAAAATGTGTTTCTTGCACTTATTAAAATAGAAAAAGAATGTTAGTACATTTTACAGTAGATATGAACGGAGACTATGCAACTTCAGTAGAACTTGATGGTTGGGGAGAAATTATTTGAGCTCCATTGGATTCCAATGCTTCTTTCATCCATCTGCAATTTATCTATTTGTCAGGAAATGGAAAATGTGATTATATTTCGAAATGAAATATAAAAAGAATGAATTTTTGCATACCCAAATTGTTTCTAAGAAAACACGTTCCCAAATTCACTGCTGATTACTGATATGTAACCTTTGTTTTTTTGAAGAGGAGCAAGTGGCCTCTTCTTCACATCTGCTCTTCCTTATCCCATTGCAAACCTCAAATTCATTTTTAGACAACAAACGAACTCCAAATTTCTTCTTTTCTCCAGAATCATCATCTGTTTCTCCAAAATCACCAACATGACTAATAAAATCTAACTTAATGCGTCCATAGCCATTTGGTGTTGTTTCATTTGCATTAGATGCATTCCATAAGCCACAAAGAGGTACCAACAAAAAAAATATATTACATACATCATCATCGTCTAATTCTGAATTGTTGGATAAGGGAAATTCCTGGGTCATCGACGACTTCCCATCATCACATGAGGGAATCAAATGAGCTGTGATGCAATCAATATTATATTCGTCATAGTAACATACAGCAAACCCCAATAACTTATCATACCAATTCTCAAGCAGATTGACTGATACACTTGGGCACATTCCCTGATGTTCGAACCAACTTGGGATATCCTCCACCCAACTCCCAAACACTCTTAGTGACAAGGAATCTGAAGAACAGATGTCATGCTGGAATGATGAGATATTCTGAAACAACGAATTACAAAATGAATCATTGCTCCAATCTGCACATATTTTAAGTAATTGCTGTGGAAATTCTGGCAGCTGTGTAAGCCTCTTGCAATCTGATAAGTCCAAGGATTGAAGAGCACCAAGTTTGGATATGCTTTGAGGCAAATGCTCAAAATTATTTCCCTTGAGATCCAACAATTTTAAAGAGGATAAACATCCAATGTATTCTGGCAGCTGTGTAAGTCTCTTGCAATCTGATAACTCCAAGTATTGAAGAGCACCAAGTTCGGATATGCTTTGAGGCAAATGCTCAAAATTATTTCCAATGAGATTCAACTGTTTCAAAGAGGATAAACATCCAATGTCTTCTGGCAGCTGTGTAAGTCTCTTGCAATCTGATAAGATCAAGTATTCAAGAGTACCAAGTTGGGCTATGCTACGAGGCAAATGCTTAAAATTATTTCCACTGAGCCGCAACACTTTCAAAGAGGATAAGGATCCAAAATCTTTTGGAAGTCTTCCATCTATTATATTGCAGTAGCTGAGATCCAGAGATTCCAATGAGAGTAACCCTTCATACACCAGAGGGAACATAAAGTACACAAGACAATGTCTTCTGGAAGTCTTCCATCTATTATCTTCTGATTTTCTTTTTTGAAAACACAATGATTTAAGCTTGTTCAACCGGACGATGGAAGGCGGGGGAAGTGAGATTAGAGTATAGCTGGCATCAAGCTCCTCCAAGTTTTCTAAATCACCTATCTCTTTTGGCAAGCTTTTAAGTTTTGAGCAGTATGACACATTTAGCGTCACCAAACCTTTCAACTTACAAATGCTGCTTGGAAGAGATACAAGGTTACCCATGCCACTCACATGTAGCTCTGTAAGATGAACGATAGATAATGGCAGTTCCGTTATCCTAGTGAATGACATCATAATCTTTATGGCAGTTCCCTGCTTCATCCTTTCATGGATTTCTGGAAAATTCTCTAAACTAGGGCAGTTTGTTAGGTCCAAAGATTCAAGAGATTCCACGTTAACATATGGAAAACTCTCAAGTTTTGAACAAAAAGACAAATTTAACTCAACGAGTTCTTTGCAATCCTTGAGGGAAGAATGAACTTCTTCAAGACTCGTACAAAACTCTAGATTCAAATACTTCAAATTTGGCATCCCCTTGAAATCTGGTGTTCTCTTCATGCTTTTAGAGGACCTTAGATCTATCCTTTGTAGAGACGGAAATTGGTTCAGCTATTCAAAACACAGAAAGAATGATGAAATAGAATAAATAACTTATTTAATTTAAACACAAGAATCATATATAATTCTAGGACAATTAAAAATAGAAAGTATCTCAAATAGAATGGTACCTCTGTTTCATTCCATAAATAATGCAATGAATTCCATCGGAGATCAAGATGAACAAGCCTTCTCGGATTAAAATTTGTTGGCAATAACTTCCAAGGATAATCAATCCAGGCAAACCAACGCAAGTTGTTGGAAAGGTACTCAATGGAGCCATCTTGGAAATTGGAGTCGGGTTTAGTCAAGTAGGGCACCCTATAAGATCCGTCATCATGAAATATGCGTAATATCCTAAGCCTTTGCATATTTTTCATTGCCTCTTTGCTAAAGCATAGTTTTTCAGAATAAGTAAACCAGATTGCTTCCACTGCCATGGCCCCCTATAAAAAGATCATGAATCAACATGTCATGTACAATCCACTTATCAATATCATTGTTTTCTTACAAATTTTTGTCATGTTTTATATTATTTATTATTGTACTTGAAGAGCCAGCACCATCAAATAAAATTTTAGGTAAAAATATTAGTTAAGAGAAATGCTTTGCGTAGTTAATTTTATTTTATAATGATACATTTTTGGAGAAGTTTATTAGACTCAAGTTAAAAAGTTTCCCATGCTCTCATAAAACAAAAATGGTAACCTAAATAGTGTCAATAACTGTAATCTTATAAATGAAAAAAAAAAATAATGATCAAGTGAATTAGTAAGGTAATTAAGTTTTGGCCCTCCTGAATTTTATTTTTTCATTTATGAATTTTTACTAATAAAAAATTACTTAGGGTAAATAAATGGGTGATATTAGCTTTTAAAAAATTATTGATTAAATTAGTATGAACAAATTAAATATTGTATAAATTTCAAGTTAATCCAAAGAATGATATAAGATTAAATATATTAAGTGGTAATTCATAACTTATTAACATGGGATAAACAAACTAGGTAGTGTGGATAAACAACTTAAATGACTTGTGCGTCAGTATATGAAGCTAGAGGAACAGAGTATATATATATATATATATATATATATATATGTTTGAAATATGAATACTATTGAATTGTTTAGCTTACTTACCATATTGTCCATCATCACATCTTTGAAATCTTCAACATTCATTATTCTGCCAAAATCTGTTTGCATTTTCACTATGTATTTGCCCATATCTTCAATCAAGTCATGCATTTCAATTCTTTCATATTTAGAGATGAACACAAGGGATTTGTCAATTAGAACATTTAATCTGTATTCAGCTTCGTCAAAATCACATCTATCAAATACTTTCATTACTTCTTTTCTTTTATGCCCACGGAAGAAACATGCGATATCTAAAAATATCTTTTGCTCTATGGGCTCCAATCCATCATAACTTATTCTGAGTTTTTCAACAATTTCTGAATTAGAGTTTTTCTTTATTTGGTCTACAATTTTTTTCCACTCATCTACGCCTTTCTTATGCAGCAAAGAACCCCACACCTTGAGGGCTAAAGGAAGACCATTAGCGTGATTTACTACCTCCAACGAGAACTTCTTAAAACACTCATCTGGAACTTCTTTTCTGAAAGCATGTTGATTGAACAATTGTAGAGCTTCATCATCAGGTAGTGTCTGCACTTCATATATTTCAGCATACTTCTCTATCAATTTTTTATCTCTAGTTGTTACAATAACTCTACTTCTGTTACCAAACCAACCAACATCACCTGCTAAATACTCCAAATGATCTCTTTCATCAATGTCATCAAGCACAATCAACACCTTCATAGAAGAAAGTCTGCTCTTAATCATGCACTTCCCATCATTCTCATTAGTGACGTAATCATCTTTTTTTCTTAACAGTTCAGAGAGAAGGGTATTTTGTAAAGAATGCAGTTGATTCTTTTTTGCATTTTCTCTAACATTCCAAAGAAAACAAGCTGCTTCAAATTGATGAGATATAGTATCAAAGATGGCTTTTGCTATTGTTGTTTTACCGATTCCGCCTGTTCCCCAGATTCCTACAATCCGAACATTATTGATTTCCATTTGAAGTAGGGGTTTTAGATTCTCTAAATGAGCATGTATTCCCACAACATCTTGCAAATCAGATAAAACACTAGCACTCTTGCAAAGTTTGGAAGAGATGTGGTCGACGATCTCATCAATTTCCTTTGATTGATTAATCCTACATAAATTAGAGATTGATTGTTGACAATGTGAGGAAGTCAAGTATTAGAAAGTAATTTCATAATTTTAATGTTCAAGAGCGTATTAAATTGGAAACATTATAGTTCAGGATAATTTATAGAAACATATTGTTATTTTTTTTCATCAAAAGCAATTATTTGTTTCCAACTCACCCGGCCTCATGAATATCATGTCCTTTTAGATTTGCGGAAGCAGTTAGGGCATTCCTCCATCCTTGAACCTTCTGCATCCCCTCAACATCATCCTTATACCTCGATTCGTGTTTGGCAAATGCTTCTTCAAAGCTCTCACTTTGGTTTCGAACATGTGATGGATTCACATAATAGAAGATCGGTATAACTGTCATGTGTCCATTTTCTTTCTCTTTGCATTCCATAATCTTCACTAGTTCATTCAAGCACCACCTTGACGTAGCATAATTTTTTGAGAAAACGATTACAGCAACTTGAGACTCTTCTATCGCTTGCACGAGTTTTTCTGAGATGGAATCGCCATCCTCTAGCCTTTCATCATCTAGAAAGGTGAATATTCCCCTAATTGTCAAACCTTTGTACAAGTGACTCGTAAAATTATACCGGGTATCATCTCCTCTGAAACTTAGAAAGACATCGTATTTCCGTCGAAGACGGTACTGTGAATTACTCGCACAAGAAGAAGATGATGCCATAGATTCAATTAATTGTCTGAAAAGAAAAAGAAAGTTATAGATTAGGATGGAGGGAGTAACGATTAACAATAACGATAGAATGAGATAAAACTAAAAAAAATTCAGAGAAATTACAGTAACTGAAAAACTAACAACCTGTGTGTGGAGGAAGACGACGAGGACAGAGATGGATTTCTCCGGCGTAATTGATGAATCGAAAGGTGCAGTAAGCTCAATGACTAAGAAATTGCCCTTGTTTTTTCTTTGCACTTGTATGTGCTTGTACTTCAATTTTTAGTAGTCCATTGTGTGGATATACATTAGAGTTTCCAAGAAATTTCCTACATTTATTGCTTTTGAATGGTTGATTATATTCAATGCAATGAAGTTTAGTCTTCATGTTTTGTCGGTAAAAAATTTGGAAGACGGGGTCTATTCCAATTGAATTATTGCTATGGGTTCCACAGCAATATGAACACAGTGGACATCTCAAAATATAAGTGCATGAAGCTACAAAGAAAGGCTATATCTTGAAAAATATCTCCGTTGAATCAAATTATTGTGAGTTAGTTCTACTTAGTATTATGTGTCCGCATAGATGCCAGACTTAATTCACATTCGTGTCGAGAGATTTTACATCGAGGGTAAAACACTTCCTAACAAGGACTAGTCAATAATCAAGGCACAAACCCAAAATACTTAATTAAGAATGAAGAAATAATTATGACTCTACCATAATCATTATTATTATTCGATCTCCCATTTAATAATTGTAATTAACTAATAATTCTTTTTATTTATGGTTATGGACTTACGGTAAGAAAAATTGGACCATATCCCTGCTTTTTTTATTTGGAAAAAATTGTAATTAACTATTTTCTTTGTTCCAATTTATACGATTCACTTTCTATTTTAGTCGGTTCCAAAAAGAATGACGGATAAAAAACAAACGATATACACTCCTATAAATAGTTGCTCGATCATTTGAGCTACATTGATTCCAAGAGAGGTGTCACATCACTTTTATTAAAACAAGAGTTATATAAATTAAATATCTGTAGGTTCAAGAAGATTGGATTAATGTATACCCAACTTCTTTTCGAATCTATTTCTCAAGCCAAGAATCTAGTTGTGTTGTAACAAACAGAGAAATTTGTCACCTCCAGATCGAAATAGAAAATACTCATTTTATTTCAATTTGATTGTTTTTTTTTTTCAGTCCGCTTAGAAAAGAATGTATATCTTTTCTTTTATTTAAGGGAAAATAATGAGGGCAACTTGAGAGTATTTGAAAGCTTTCAAGAGTTCTTCTAGGATCGTATCGCCATGCTTTAACCTTTTATCAATTTAAAAGGTGATTACTCTCCTCCTTGTCAAAAGTTTGTACAAGTAACTAGTAATTATTTTACGAGTATCTTCACCTCCAAGTAGTCAACTAGTACATGTACATTGAATATTAGTCGTCCATAGTAAGTAGTAGGAAATTTCTTCACACCTTCCACACATTTATATTTGATTGTGACATGGATTAAAGTGCTGATAATTGCATGAATTTGACGAATTCCAACAAAAAAGTTTCGATACAGTACTCTTTTTTACAGTGTTTTGAATATTAAAATTTTTATTTTCAAATATCAAATTAATATAATTTAATTTAATTGTTAAAATTAGTCAAAGTAACTCTCAAAAAACACAGCCTGACAACTAAAAAAAACAAAGGGAGTATGGGGAGGGGGGTTGTGAGGGGAGGGCTCCACTTAGGAGGAAGGTGTGAGACCCATGTGCCTTGTAAGGCGTGGCCTCACACGTGCCTTTATTTTTACATGTTAACCGCGTTAAAAAGTTTAGAAGGTGTGGGGATCATGTAGGGGTGTGCAAAAACCGATTTAACCAATAAACCGAACCGAAAAAAACACTATTGGTTTATTGATATTGGGTTATTGGGCTAACGGTTTTTAAACGGTTTTGCAAAATTTTTTATTGGGTTATTGGTTCGGTTTCCGGTTTTATAATTTTTGTTAATGGTTAAACCGATAACCCAATAAGACTATACTAAATTTACTAGTCTTATTGTTAATGGTTAAATGATTGTTACTTTCACACTTTTTGTTAATGGTTAAACGATTGTTACTTTAACACTTTTTCCTTTGAATGTGTCTAGTGTCTAAACTTGCAAGAAAAATGATTGTTACTTTTATGATTATTACTTTCATGCCAAATGTTGGAAAAATCATATGGTATTTTCTTATTGGTTAAACCGAAAACCGAACCGTTAAGTACCATAAACCGATTAACCAAAAACTGATAAGAAATATGTTATTGGTTTGGTTATCGGTTTGAAGTATTTACAAACCGATAAACCGATAAACCGAACCAATAACACCTAAAACCAAACCGAACCGACCGATGCGCACCCCTAGGATCATGTACCTTTACCCCTTTGCACTTTAATTTTTTTAGTTGTCCTTTTGGAATTTTGGCAAAAAAAAAAACAAAAAAAACTTGTCCTCTAGGCTCTGGACTACAAAATGGACAGCTAAAAGTACAAGCAGATGAAGCTTCAAAGAAAAAGAGTATCCCAAATGAGAAGAAAATAAAATTTTAGGAGAAATTAAATGGAATTATTGTAATGGGTGGAGCCACTTTAGGTGAAGGGTGGTTTGGTGCACACACATTACAAGTGTATATTTAATTTTTTACACCCTTAACACAACTAAGAAAAATATTTGGTTAAACTCCCAACTTTGCCATGGAATTTATTGCTCCACAAGTACAAACACCAACCTCGCTGTATCTTCTCTGTCAAAAACTGATTGAAATTTGTCTTTAATTTCACAGTATGCATACAACTTTGACTTTAAAAACTCTACTTGAATGGAAGATGTAATTATTGATATTTTTTCAAAAAACATTTTGTGTCTAGTGTAATTTTTTACCATACATTCTAAAAGCCCACCAAAAGATGTGGTAGAGAGGATGGGGTGCTCCTCACTTAACCATAGATTTTGGGTTCGAATCCTAGAAATGAAATTTTTTTTAGTAGGAAGCGACACCAGATAAAAAACAAAACAACACAAAAAAAATACACATTCTAAGAAATTTCAGCTTCACAAATCCAATGGGGTTTTAACCATACATTTATTACTGATTTGAATCTTTCACAATTGAATATATATGAGTACGTTTCACCATCTCTTAAATTTCTATTACTCCTCGATAGATCAATGTTGTTAATTTAATCAGCAAATAGGGTTAACTTAATAGTAAGGAGTAATAATTGCTAGTAATTATTTAATTCTTCTCATTTATGGTTATGGACCCACTATCCATCTGCACAAAGAGAAATTGGACCACACATATTTGTATTTCAGAATGTATCTAGTATCTTTGATACATGTATTTGACTTGATATCTAAAAGAATGGTGTATCTGACTTGAAATTTGGCACAAAATTATTAATTAACAAGACACTATGTAAGTTATTATAATGTGAATTAATATTTATGGTAGAAACTATGAACTATAAAGTAAATTAGACTTGACTTCGCAATGAATTGATGAAGTTAAGTCATGTTGTCGGTGTAATAAAAATTAGCCTTGTTTTTTCTTTGCACCTTTATTTGATTGTGTGCATATTGCATGAAAGTTTCCAAGAAATTTCCTACTTACTTCTACCAATGTACATATTTATTAAAGGGAAGTGCTTAATGGCTAGAAAATTTGGCCAGAAAATTAAAAAAACTATAATATTTTTTTTATTTTAAAACAAACTAATCTTTTTTCTATTTTTTAGTTAAAATGTATTAAAGTTAAAAGGGTAAAAATGTTTTAAAAGGTAAAATAACATAAATAAAATATCATTCTGGCCAAATTCTAGCCAAATTTTTTTTCCTTTATTAAAATATGCTTTTTTGACCGGTTATTTATCTTCAATACAATAAAGTCTACTCTCCTTGTTTGGTTAGTCACAAAGAAATTGCTTGGACATTACCTTACAGTTTCAAATAAACAAGGCCCACAACTCGTTAGGTAGAGTTTCATTTTATGTCATTCTATTTAGATTATTCTTATTAATTTAATTTATTTTCAGCTGACAAATGTTTTGATCCTAAGGTGAGTTTTAATGGATATCAATAAAATCGATATGATGTTTCTAAGTTAAAATTTTATCTGAGGCAAGACTGCTACATATTCTGTCTTGTGACAATAGTGTATGAAGTTGACGAATTCCAACAAAAAAGGATAATAAAAAATGAAAAGGGCCAAACGGGCTAAGGCGCAGGATTATACATTTGGGGTGTGTTTAGTAGAGTAAGTATACACATATATACAACCCCCAAGCCTTTTGTTATGGTACACATTTCAATACGACATGTCGACAAAAGTGCATACTTCTTTGAAAAATTATGTTGTATTTATATGTCAAATTCTACATTTAAAAGATATATATTTAAAGTTGGACACCCTTGATAAAAGTTATGCTTTTGGCGCAGTGATAATTGGTGTCCAATTGAATGATGGAGTTTCGAGTTTGAACCCAAATAGCACAATATTTTTTTTATTTTATTTTGACATCCACACACCATTATTCTTGGACATTCTTAACAAAATTTCCGGCTCCGCCATTAGGTGTGAGAGCCATGTGCCTTACAAGGCGTGGCCTCACACGTGGCTTTCTTTTTACCACGTTAAAAAAATTGGGTTATGGTGTGTGGATCATGTGCCTTTACCCCTTTGCTCTTTAATTTTTTTTATTGTCCTTTTTGGAATTTTGGGGAAAAAAAAATAAAAAACTTGCCCTTTATGCTCTGGACTACAAAATGGACAGCTAAAAGTACAAGCGGATGAAGCTTCAAAGAAAAAGAGTATCCCAAATGAGAAGAAACAAAATTTTAGGAGAAGTTAAATGGAATTATTGTAATGAGCGGAGCCACTTTACGTGAAGGGTGGTTTGGTGCACACACATCGCTAGAAAATTATGTGGTATATTAAGATTAAATATTACTCTGTTATTACAAGTG